CCCGCACAGACGACTTTGCTCGAGCCCAGGGAAGTGGCGACAGTTGCGCAGATCGCAAGCCCCCCAGGGGGCGGCGAAGTCCCGAGGTGGTCCGCGTGGGACCCACCTCCGCTGGGCCTCCGAGGAGCCCACGGAAGTGGCGACAATTGCGCAGATCGCAAGCCCCCCAGGGGGCGGCGAGGTCCCGAGGTGGTCCGCGTGGGACCCACCTCCGCTGGGCCTCCCAGGCGCCCACGACGTGGCGACAATTGCGCAGATCGCAAGCCCCCCAGGGGGCGGCGAGGTCCCGAGATGGTCCGCGTGGGACCCACCTCCGCTGGGCCTCCCAGGCGCCCACGAAGTGGCGACAGTTGCGCAGATCGCAAGCCCCCCAGGGGGCGGCGAGGTCCCGAGGTGGTCCACGTGGGACGTACCCCCGCTGGGCCTCCCAGGAGCCCACGAACGTGGCGACAGTTTCGCAGATGGCAGGCGGCACGAGAGAAGAGGAGAAGGGAACACAGGAATCTTGAGAGAAGGAGGAGGGGAGGAGAGGGGAGGAGAGGACAGGGCGACCACACTGCTCTATTCAAAACGGATGCCCAACCATAGGAGGGTTGGGAATAATCGTAGTGGTAGTAGTAGTCGTAGCCGCGCTCGTTGTAATAGTAGTAGTAGTGGCGGTGGTGATAGTAGTCGTAGTAATGGTAATACTTGTAGTGACGGTAGTAGTAAAAGTAATAGTAGTAGTAGTAGTAGTAGTAGTAGTAGTAGTAGTAGTAGTAGTAGTAGTAGTAGTAGTAGTAGTAGTAGTAGTAGTAGTAGTAGTAGTAGTAGTAGTAGTAGTAGTAGTAGTAGTAGTAGTAAGTAGTAGTAGTCGTAGTCGTAGTCGTAGTCGTAGTAGTAGTAGTCGTAGTAGTAGTAGTAGTAGTAGTAGTAGTAGTAGTAGTAGTAGTAGTAGTAGTAGTTGTAGTAGTAGTAGTAGGTAGTAGGTAGTAGTAGTAATAAAATTAAAGTCACCCGTCGTCTATAACCGGCTTGTTTACGGCTGGTAGTTTGGTTGGGTTTCCTCTACAAGTGTGCGAAAACCCTATATAAACTAAGCGTCCTTCACACTTGACCTATGGCCGGCACGCTGTGAAGAATCCTAAGGAATTCTCTAAGAATCCTCCGGAATTCTCCAAGAAACCTACGGAATTCCCAAGGCAAGCGAAGGAATTCTCTAAGAATCCAGAGGAATTCCTGAGGAATCCCGAGAGATTCATCCGAAATCCTAAGGAATCCCTGAGGAGTCCTGAGGGATTCTCGAGGAATCCGAAGGGAATCTCATGGAATCCCAAGGAATTCTTCAGGAATCCTAGTAGTAGTAGTAGTAGTATTAGTAGTAGTCGTAGTAGTAGTAGTAGTAGTAGTAGTAGTAGTAGTAGTAGTAGTGGTGGTAGTTATAAGAGTAGTAGTAGTAGTAGTAGTAGTAGTAGTAGTAGTAGTAGTAGTAGTAGTAGTAGTAGTAGTAGTAGTCGTAACAGTAGTAGTAGTAGTAGTATCAGTCTAGTAGTAGTAGTAGTAGTAGTAGTAGTAGTAGTAGTAGTAGTAGTAGTAGTTAGTAGTCGTAGTAGTAGTAGTAGTAGTAGTAGTAGTAGTAGTAGTAGTAGTAGTAGTAGTAGTAGTAGTAGTAGTAGTAGTAGTAGTAGTAGTAGTAGTAGTAGTAGTAGTAGTAGTAGTAGTAGTAGTAGTAGTAGTAGTAGTAGTAGTAGTAGTAGTAGTAGTAGTAGTAGTAGTAGTAGTAGTAGTAGTAGTAGTAGTAGTAGTAGTAGTAGTAGTAGTTGTAGCATAGTATAATATAGTAGTAGTCGTAGTCGTCGTCGTCGTGGAAGTAGTCGTTGCAGTAATCGAAACCAATTGCCCTAGCCAGCCCAACCAGTCAGCCCAACCAACCAGCCACCCAAACAACTCAACCGGCTCAACCAGCCCAACCAGCCACCCCGCAACCCCAGCCACCCCGCCACCCCGCCAACCCGCCCACCCCGCCGCCTGCCCTCCGTCACCGTCGAGAGGGGGGGGAAGTGTTTCTCACAAGCGAAAACCACAAAAATCACCCTCCCGGGGTCCGGCGGGACAACGGGGGGAGGGAAAATCGCACCGTACTATGCGGGAGGGGGGTTCGCGCCCGAGGTGCCCGAGGACGATTTTGGGCCTCAAGTGCGACACTGTCGTCACTTTATTACCTTTCACCGCGCTCCCCTTGTCAACGGAAAGGCTCCCATCCGTGAAACTGTCGTCATATTTGAGCCCCCGCGAAAGGCTTCTTAGAGGCCCCCAGAGGCTCCAGGAGGGCCCATGGCGGCCTCAGGAGTGCCTAGGAGATCTCCGGAGGGCCCCAGGAGGACCCACTCTGCACCGCGCCCCCTTCTCAACAGAAAGGCCCCCATGCGTGAAATTGTTTTCATCATTCCGCCCCCGCGAGGGAGTTCTTACAGGGCCCACGGAGGCTCCAGGACGGCCCATGGCGGCCCTGGGAGAGCCCACGAGATCTCAAGAGCCCCCCGGAGGATCCACTTTGAATTACACTCAGGGAGCTCCAGAGGGCCCAGGAGGCTCCAAGAGGCCCAAAGAGGCCCCGAAGAGCCCAAACAGGCCACAGGACCCCCAGCACGCTCTAGGAGAGCCAAGGCGACACCAAGAGGCTCCAGGACGGGCGTCATTCCCTCTCTTCCTCCTGCTCGTCGTCGTCATCCGCCTCCTCATCCATCCTGCTTTTAATCCTTCCTCCCCTTCTTCCTCCTCCTTCTCCTCCTCGTTCTCTTCCTCCTCCTCCTCCGCCTCCTCCTCTTCTTTCTCCTCCTCTTCCTCCTCCTCCTCCTACCTCATCCGTAGCCTCGATGGCTCCAATAGCGCCGTGCGCGAGATTCGCCTTCTCCCCATACGTCCTCCTCCCTCGTCCCTCCTCCTTCCCTCCTCCCTCTTCTCCTCTCTCAGGAGCGTCACAAAGAGGCCCTCCGAGGACAATTTCACGACAACAAGGGCGCCGACACGATGAACAGACACCACGTCGGGGCTCTGGGAACAGAGCCGAAGACGAAACCTCGAATAACTTAGTCTTCGATGTTCGAGACATTCTTCTGACCACCTGCGATCCCTGTGGAAACTTCCGAGAGCCTCAGGGGTGGACGTCTGGCGGAAGAACATGAGTGGAGGAGGAGACAACACGACGCCCCACGGAGTAAACTGCACCCAGTTGGTTTCTACCCCCGCGAGGGGCGTTACAGGGTATGAGTAGTAGTGAAAAAGTAATAGCAAAAATAGTGGTAGTAGTAGTAGTAGTAGTAGTAGTAGTAGTAGTAGTAGTAGTAGTAGTAGTAACAGTAAAAGTAGTAGTAGTTGCAGTAGTAGTTGCAGTAGTAGTAGTAGTTGTTGTTGTTGAGTTGTAGTAGTATGAGTAGTAGTAGTAGTAGTAGTAGTAGTAGTAGTAGTAGTAGTAGTAGTAGTAGTAGTAGTAGTAGTAGTAGTAGTAGTAGTCATAGTCGTAGTCGTAGTGGTAGCAGTAGTGGTAGTAGTAGTAGTAGTCGTAGTAGTAGTAGTAGTAGTAGTAGTAGTTGTCGTAGTAGTAGCCGTATTGGTAGTAGTTGTGGGAATACTCGTAGAAGTAGTAGGAGCAGTAGCAATAAGATGGGTTAGCCGCAGTAGTAGTAGTAGTAGTAGTCGTCGTAGTAATAGTAGTAGTGCAGTGATAATGCGACTACTAATGGTTTAAGCAGCAACCGTAATAACAGTAGTAATCCTAGTCGTAGTCGCGATACTAAATGGCAAAAGTCGTCGTAGTCGTGGTGGTCGTAGTAGTAGTAGTAGTAGTCGTAGTAGTAGTGGTAGTAGTAGTTGTCGTAGTAGTAGTAGTAGTAGTAGTAGTAGTAGTAGTAGTAGTAGTAGTACTTGTAGTAGTGGAAGAAGTAGTAGTAGTAGTAGTAGTAGTCTAGTAGTAGTAGTAGTAGCAGTAGTAGTAGTAGTAGTAGTAGTAGTAGTAGTACAGTAGTAGTAGTAGTAGTAGTAGTAGTAGTAGTAGTAGTAGTAGTAGTAGTAGTAGTAGTAGTAGTAGTAGTAGTAGTAGTAGTAGTCGTAGTAGTCGTAGTAGTAGTAGTAGTAGTAGGTAGTAGTAGTAGTAGTAGTAGTAGTAGTAGTAGTAGTAGTAGTAGTAGTAGTAGTAGTAGTAGTAGTAGTAGTAGCAGAAGAAGTAGAGTAGTAGTAGTAGTAGTAGTAGTAGTAGTAGTAGTAGTAGTAGTAGTAGTTAGTAGTAGTAGTAGTAGTAGTAGGTAGTAGTAGTAGTAGTAGTAGTAGTAGTAGTAGTAGTAGTAGTAGTAGTAGTAGTAGTAGTAGTAATCGTAGTAGTAGTAGTAGTAGCCGTACTAGTAGTAGAAGAAGTATGATCGTAGTAGTAGTAGTAGTAGTAGTCCTAGTAGTCGTAGGTGTAGTAGTAGTCGTGGTAGTGGTAGTAGAAGTAGTAGCAGCAGTAGTAGTAGTAATCGTGGTGTGGTAGTTATTCTAATCGTGACGATCGTTGCGGTTATAGTCTGAGTAGTAGTAGTAGTAGTAGTAGTAGTAGTAGTAGTAGTAGTAGTAGTAGTAATCGTAGTAGTAGTAGTAGTAGTAGTAGTAGTAGTAGTAGTAGTAGTAGTAGTAATCGTAGTAGTAGTAGTAGTAGTAGTAGTAGTAGTAGTAGTAGTAGTAGTCGTAGTGGTAGTCATAGTCTAAGTGGTCCTAGAGGTCGCAGAAATTTAAAAATAATCGTAGTGGTGCTGGGCGTAATAGTAGTCGGAATGTTGATAGTATGTGGAACAAGAAGTACATGACGATGCTCATGCTCGTGTTTGCAGGTTTTTGGCACGCCAGGAAGAAAGTGAAGGACGCTTGTCACAACGAGGGGATGGGAGGGAAAGGAGGCGAAGCGGAAGCAGCAATCGCAGCAAAGTTGGCGGATACCCATCCATGGGCCCACACAGCCAGCCACGCGGCTGCCTTCCGCTCCCCCCCATTCAGGCGTCGGCCGCGGCCGCGCTCTGCAGTTTCCACTGCACCTGTGGGCGGCGGCGTGCTGTGCGCTCGACGATGCGCTTCGAGAGGCTCCGGTCGCGAGCGCGGGCCGGGCGCCCCGCCCCGTGCCCCACGCGCACGTGTCCGACCCCGGGCACCTTTCCATTCCGTCCCCCGTTCCTGCCCGCCCTTGCCCCTCCTTGCCGCCCCCCTTGCCGGCCCCTGGCGCCCACCCTGCCGTTCCGTGCCCCTGGCCCCTCCTTCCACCCCGCGACTCCGCTCCCCGCTCCTGCCGCCGCTCCGTCCGCCCCGATCCCCCCCCCCCCGCAGCACCGAGAGTATGTGAGCATGGGCGGGGTGGATGGGGCGGAGGGGCGCACGCGACGGCATCACGGACCACGGGCGGCAGGCCGTCGGGCGAGCCCCCGACGACGGGAAGCCGTCGAGTCACACTGCCCCCTCCTCCTCCTCCCCCCTCCTCCCGCCCCCCCCCCCCCCCTCCCCTCCCGCCGCGCCCCGCCCGCCCCCCCCCCTTCCCCTTCCCCCAATCCTGCCGCGCGCGCGGCGTGCTCGTGTCCCGCGCTGCCGTGCGGGCGACGGCGCTGGCAGCGGTGGCCGGCCCGTCGAGGAGAGGAATCCCCTGCCCTGGTTGAGCGAAACTCAATCTATGAGCGGATGGCAGTGATGGCGTGCAGTGCTAGAAGGAACAAATATTGAAGCCCACCGCGTTCAAGGTATACGGAACTACGCGAGCGCGGTAAAGTTGATGTGGCTGCGCTGGTGAAGAAAAAAAGCTTCGAACTCAGACAAAGACCGAGGGTCACCCCAATTTCATGTCCGGGGATCAAACAGGAAATGATCATTTTGAGAGGGTGGGGACGATTGCACAAAGCCACAACGTGCACGATAGCCCTCTGCTCAGTCCCATCAACTGAGTCGACACCATCACGCCTGAACGTGATAGCGACAGAAGAAGGAAAGGAGGAAGAGGACAAAGAGAATGAGGAGGAGAAGGAGGAGGAGGGAGAGAGGAAGGGGGCAAGCAAACACACACACACACACACAAACAAACCAACACAGACAGACAGACTGACATACATACTCACAGACAGGCAAACAAACAGGCAGACAAACACACAGACAGACAGACACACACAGAGACACACACAGACACACACATAAACATGCACACACACACACACAAATGAAGCTTGCCCGTGCATGGGCCGACATTGGTAGACCAGCACAAACGCAGAAACCCTCGCGAACAGGAGCGACGGAAGGAGGGAATGGGGAAGTGGAGGGGTACGCGGGGGAGAAGGACAAGAGTACAGGAACATATCCAAACAATTGCACAACATCCGCCGCTGGCCTAGGACGGCAAACCGTTGGCTCACGCACCTCAGCGGCTAACCCAGAGCAGCACTGAAGTCCATCACTGGACTGGACAATGCGTCGACAGCAGGGGCGGGAAATGCTATGCCGCTATGCCAGTGCCCGTGACAAGCTTAGAACATACGTTGAAGGCGAACGGAAGTCAGCCATGGAGTCACCAAACAGAGGCGGTCCCCGACCAGCCTCTAGAGCAAGCCAGGGCGGCGCGATAACGCTCACCGCTGGCGAACAGAGCAGAACCGCAGCGCTGCCAAGTCCGCGGGCAACGAGTAGAGAGCCAGCCCCTGGCGCCTCAAACGGAGGAGGAGGACGAGGCGGAGGAGGAGGAGGAAAAGGAGGAGGAGGAGGACGAGGAGGAGGAGGAAGAAGAAGGCGAGGAGGAGGAGGAGGAGGGGGAGGAGGAAGAGGAGAGGAGGGGAAGGAAAGAAAGGAGGAGAAGAGGAAGGGGACCGTTGACAGAAAGTACCCCTGCTGCCACGCGCGCTTCGCCCAGCCTGGAGAAAATTAGCTAGAATCCCGAACATGGAAGAAAAGGAGGAGGCGGAGGAAGAGAGGGGGCGGAGGGGGGGAGAGGAGGGGCATCGCCGTTGACGAGCGTCTCGGCTGCACCAAGGGGCATCCGCCCAATTTTAATCAAGCGCGCCACGGTTCCAACAGGGAGGAGGGGAGGAGGGGAGGTGGAGGACGGGGGGGCGGAGGACGGCGGGGAGATGGAAGGAACGCCGTTTTCGACGCGCCTCTATGCTACAGTAGAGGCTGTGTCTCGAAGAGCTCCTCGGCTGTCGAACGCAGCCAGCCCCGTCCACGGGGCGGAAATTCGGGTAGCGATTCGCTGGTGCTCAAGAGGGCATACCTCCTCCGAAACGGCCCAGACCGTTGCGGGCAACTCGCACGGCAAACCCAACAAGCGGGAGGAGGGCAGCACGCCCCTGCCGAACGCCCTAGCGCAGGCCAGCAGCGACAAACTGAAGCTTCGGGCTAGTTAGCGGAGGAGGGAAGAGGGAGGAGGGAGAAGGGCCAAAAGGCATGAGGAGGAAGAGAGAGAGGTTGCGCGCTCCCACGGAACGATCCAAGGTAGAAAGGCCCCAGCCGGACTCTGAATGCCTGGGCGGCCTGGGGCTTCAGTCGGCCAAGACAACGTCCAGGATTCGGGCGGCGTCGGCCTGTCCCGCCGCGGCTTCCTTGACGGTTTGATTGAACACTCGCTGGACCACCGCTACGTCCGAAGTCGGCAGGCTGCGTCGGACTATGCGGTGCAGCTGGGACGCAGCCGCCACCAGCAAGATGGCGCGTCAACCCGACGCTGCATCTAGCAAACCAGGGTGCGCCTTCGGGCAGAAGCTCGCTCCGCGTCGAGATCTGCGGGCCCGCATGCCGGAGACGTCGCCTTCAATGCTGGCGTAATCTGCGGCAGCCCATGTAATGGTCCACCGCGAACTCGCCCATGGCGCAATCGAGCGCGCGGTGCGCGCGGGATTGCAATTGCCGCGCCGCGCAGCAGCCACTGAGCCACGTGCGCATGACTGCAGAGATCACCCTCGGGGGCAGAAGGCGAGGCAAACGCCGCGGCACGGCCGCGGCGTGGCATGCCCGCGGCCGAAGTGGGAGCGGCATCCGCCACCTCGCAAAGTTCGCGCATGGTCGTTCCTCTGGGTGGCTGCGCAGGGCGCGCGTCCAAGATGCCGGCGCGGTCTTCTCGACGCCGCGAGCGAGGCGACGCGCCTGGCCCCGGGCGCGGGGGCCGCGTGGGATCGCCAAACTCTGCTTCCACAATGTGGATCGTGATCCCCGCCAGCCGGCATGCTGCAATAGCGCCGGAGAGGCTGCGCGCGTAGGAGCGTTGGAACCACGAGCACCAGCGAATATGCCGCGAGAAAAAAAAAAACGATGAATGCATGGTAAAAGCAGGTCGGCGGACAACAGCCGCTGCCCGGTGAGCGACCTTAGCTCGAGCTGCCAAGGATACCTCCTGAATATCCGAGAATTCGCGGGGTAGATGGTAACGCCGAGGCAGGGCGCGACCATCCGCCGGGAGAATCCACTGGGCGAGGTCTGACACCAAGCGGCAATCGGCAACGCCCTCCCCATGCCTCCAGGACGCAGGATTTCCAATTGCACGAGAAAGGCGAGGAGCGAGGCCACGTACACATTGTGCGCCACGGTGGTGCCGTGCAGGCCAAGCCCGAGCTGCGCCCATAGACCGGCGCGGCAGGCGTACTTATCCGATGCCTTCCAGGGTCGCGAACGCTTGCCTGGCCGGCAGAACTTTGCGCTGACACAAAAACTTCCCATGGCGCCAATGCCGAATCGTCTGCGCTGGACTTTAACATGACGTCCGGCGGCAAGTCCTGCAAGCGGCGGAGCAAAAGGTCATCGAAAAGTCGCCAAGGGCAGACAGTCTCAGCGTACCTTGGCGTATCCTTGGGCAACAATGGCGTATCCCATATCTGATACTGAAGCCATCGCGCAGCTCGCCGGCGGCCGCGATGCTGCAACCATTTCCGACATGCATATAGGACACGAAGTGCCTGAACGACAAGAGAGAGGAGCTCCAGGTACCCCCGCAGGTCCTCCATGGAGTCGCGCGCCAACGACAAGAACGCCGCAGCGAAGTCGAAGACGACCGCCCCAGGCTTCTCAGCCTGCAAGCTGGCAGCTCTCATGTCAGTGTCAATCTCGGCTTCGTCCTGCAACGTAGACCTGCTGGGCGAAGCCCCCGTTGAGCCGGCGAGGTGGTCTCGCCCGCAAGCGTTGAACATTGGCCGTCATTCTGTCGTCCGTGTTGGCCAAAGACAAAGGGCGGACCTCCCCGAGAAGGCGGCAGCAGATGCCGCAGTCCTAGTCTAGTGCGTCGTAATTTTCGGCATGAAGACCACGCTGACAAAATTGAGCGCTGCGTCGGCATTCGCGTCCAGGGGGGACGCCTGCAGGAGAGGAGTCACGACCATGCTCCTCGGAACGCTCAGCGGCGGCCTCGAAAAAAGGGCGACGACAGCAGGGTGCCCACAACGTCGCCTTGCCAGATGCGACGCTCCATCCGGACAAGGCGCCGAAGATGCAGCCAACGTAACTGCCTGGTGAATGTCCGATCGGAGGAGCTGCCAAGCGGACGCATCGCCGACTACTTGGCGAGCAGCTGCGCGAAGGCCAGTCGCGCGACCAGCGTCCTCGCGGAGCCACTCCTGCCGCGACGGCGACCCAGAGCACGAGCGAAAAATGTGCTCGTCAAGTGCTCCTTGAGGGTGGCGGCCATGCCAGCGCCGTCCGAGCGGGGGTCGCCATCCAGGGCTGCCGCCGCCGAGAGCGACGTCGACTGCCCAGGCGCAGTGGGTTTGAGCGGCAGCAACACCTGGGACCGCCGCTGCCGCAAGCCATTGTCGGAGAGATCTGGTACCTCATCATGAATCTTGCAGAGAAGCTTGAACCTCCGCCCTCGCAAGGCCAACGGCGTGCTCTCGGAAGAGAACCAGACACCGATGGGGGGCAGGCTAAAGGAAATCGCCGGATAAAAACCGAGGAGCTCGGGACGCCAGGCACGAAACGCAGGAATATCTGCAAGGCCCTGCCGTTCAAAACGGCGGAGGACAGCCATTGCGCTGCTCAGCGGCGACTCGCCCCTGGGTGCCGTGCCACCCCCAGCCCGTTATTCGAGAAGGCGGGCCGGGACGATTCTGTCCGCATGGCCACCGTGAGGCGTCGCAAGCAGATGGGCGGGCCAACATCCGGGAAGAGCTCCATCGAGGACCGGCACCCGTGCGCAACCTGCGCTCGTCCAGAGCTCGTCCTGGATGATCGCCTCGGCCGATGCTGCGATAAGCTCGGCCCGGCGTGCTGGACGCTCGAAAACTGTGGGTCCTTTTCATAACACTTTCCAGTGGCAACTTGGCCGATCCCGCCAGCCACCCGAATTGCCGCCCAGAACTGGTTCTCCATTGGCCGAATCGCATCCAAGACTGCCAAGACGGCCCAAGATGGCCTCTAAGACGGCCAAGATGGCCCTAAGATCTCCCCCAGACGGTCCAAGATGCACCCAAGACGACCTCAGAATCTGGTCCCGAAGTTGGCCTAAGACGGCCCACGAGGCCTCCAAGACGACCCAGGAGGCCTCCAAGAGGACCTCCAGACAGGCCCGCAGAGTGCATCAGAGGCCACCAACAGGGCACCAAGAACGAAGGCCTCCGATATGGCCCCCTGACGGCCCGAGGCGCCCCCGAAACGGCCACAAAAGCGCCTCGAGACAGCCCAAGCGGGATCCACGCCAAGGAGGCTCCAGGAGTGCCCCCGCTTCTTCCCCCCAGGTGCTTCCGAAGGGTTCCCACGCTGGCTGTGGGGACACACAGGCCGATAGCGTGGCCGAGCTCTGGCCACAACGTTCGGCCGCGCAGGCGCTTCCAAAAGGCAACGGGCGACGACGATTCACCGAAGGCGTCCTCGATCAGTAACATAGCATTTTCATGACATAACTAACGTGTATCAGCTATGCATATTATGTGTATAAGTGTATATAGAGGTGCGCATGTATTTGCGCAAATGGTGCGCAAGCCCATAGCAGACACCAGACACATGTACCAGCAGCAAACAACAGCATGCTACACTACGCCATATATTCAAGAGCAATCAGCAACACAATAACTTGGGACCGCGCGCCGATCACGACCCCACACCAACGCCATCAGTAACTGTGCAGCAGTGCAGCGGTGTGGAACGTACATCAATCGGAGCATGACAGGCTGACGGTAAAATTGCCGATGCGGGCGTTGGCAAAACTGAATTCAGTGGGACCTGGTTTAGTGCACAGTACCGGGGACGCCCCCCCCCCGTCCCATTCCACTAACCGGAATTGCCGTCACCCGAAAAAAACACCAGCTATTACCAGCCTGGAACATATCCCTATCCCTATGCTGGGCACCTCCTCATCACGATGCCAATCTTAGGGATTCCCTTATTGTTTGAGGGCGAATCCCTAAGACTGTCATCGCCTTTTGGCGTGTCAATCTTAGGGATCGGGATACGTTCGAGGCTGGTAAAGCTACGGCAGACCTGGTTTAGTGAGTCCAATCCATGTTTTGGGATGCGGGGCCCAATCGCTCACGGGCTCCCCTTATTCAAGGTCCTGGCCATACCCCAGCGGGGCCCCGCTGCGAAGGCGAGACAACGGCGGGATGCCTGCCGGCACGAGGAGGCGGAGGAGGCGGAGGAGCAGGAGGAGGAGTAGGAGGAGGAAGAGGAGGAGGCGGAGGAGGAGGAGGAAGTGGAGGAGGCGGAGGAGGAGGGCGAGGAGGAGGCGGAGGAGGAAGAGGAGGAGGAGCAGGAGGAGGCGGAGCAGGCGGAGAAGGCGGAGGAAGAGGAGGAGGAGGAGAAGGAGATCCCCGAATGACACTCCGAACATCGCCCTCTGCCCGCCAGGAGCCTTCCCCATCCGTGCGCGTGGCAAGGCAGCTGCCCCGCCCCGCCCCGGGCCTCGGACACGCGCACCATGTCTGCGCTCAGTCGCCACTGCTGGCAGCCGCACTGCAGTGGAGGCCAGTCCACAAGAAACCTTCCACACGAAGCCCAGCCCTGAGACCCCAGGACGTCCATTGATTTTCGGGGTCGGAGCGTCGCGCTTTCCGCAGGAGAACCATCGAAACCCAAGAAACCCAGGGCACCCTGGAGGCAAGCAGGGTGTCTCTTGGCATGGGCCCTCCACTGCACTCCAGCACGTTCCCCAGGCACCTTCTGAAGCTGCATCATGAGGACCATCACCCCGAGATGCCCATCGCAGCCAGACGTCCCCTCCCTTGGGTGGCGGAGGAGGAGGAAGAGGAGGAGGAAGGAGGAGAAAGGAGGAGGAGGAGGAAGGAGGAAGGAGGAGGAGGATGAGGAAGGAGGAAGGAGGAAAGAGAAAAAGGGCTCTTGCCTTGGGCTGGCCCCCCACCCGTCACGCTTGCAGGCCTCAGCATCGGCGGCGAGAGCGGCGGCGACGGCGACGGCGCGCACCTCGTGGCTGCTCCCCCGAGAGGCCAGCCGCGGAGTGCCCGCCGCGGAGTGCCCTCCGGGAGCTCTCCCCCCTCGGCCAGGCGCCGCCGAAGCTACTGCGGTCGGGGAGCGCCGCACGCAGAGGGCCTCCTCCTCCTCCTCCTCCTCCTCCTCCTCCTCCTCCTCCTCCTCCTCCCTCCTCCCTCCTCCCTCCTCCCTCCTCCCTCCTCCCTCCTCCCTCCTCCCTCCTCCCTCCGCCCTCCGCCCTCCGCCCTCCGCCCTCCGAGTGGATGGGGTCGGAGGATGGCGCCGCATCGGCGATGCATCGGCGAAGCATCGGCGACAGCGGCGTGGAGAAAATCGGGCTCCACATCGAGCCGCGTCGCCGAGGCATCGGCGATGCGGCGCGATCCTCCGGCCCCATCTGCTCCGACTCCATCTGGGATTCCTGGAGCACCGCAGCCTTCCTCCTGCCCCGCCCTTTCCTCCGCCCCACCCCCTCAGAACCGAGTCAAGTGTGCTTGCACTCGCTCTCGCGGGGCTGAGGTGCCAGATCGTTCTTGCAATGTTCGCTTGCTGTGCGCTCTCCAGTGTTCTCATCTGATAACCCCTAACCCTGAGCCAGTCAACAACGAACGCATGAGAGGATCACACAAGAAAGATGCACGATACGATACGGTACGGCGTGTGTACATTCCGATCGCAAGGGGTGTCAGGCGTGCTGCACGCGCTCGAGCAAAAGCAGATCCACCTGGCAGGAGAGGCTCAAACAAAGAGTGTGACGTGGAGCTGAGCGGAGGGGAGGACGAGAAGATGGGCGAGCGGACGAACTAGAACATTAACAAACGGCATAACCATAAACTCTTGGCGCGCTCCGCGCGCCAGGGGCGGCGCCGGAGGCGCCGCGGGGGGGGGGCAGCACGGACCCAAGAAATCCGCGCGGAGTGCTGACAGTTTTTGTATGTGGCGTCTTCTTCGGAGATGAGACGCCGAGGGCGACGTGGAGATGTAAGTAGGGGAACAACAAGTGACATAAACATATAAAAAAAACGCGGAGGTCCGCGCGGATTTCTCGGATCGGCGCTGGACCCCCCTCCCTGGCGCGCGGAGCAGCGCGCTGGACACAAATAAATACACACTAATAAAAGGATTCCCCTATATTTTTCAATCTTTTTCGGATTTTCGTCTTCCCCCCAATTCCAAGATTTTCCTATATTTTCCTGGGCATCGACGATTAATTGTGTCTGTGTTGTTTTTGTCCCTCCTGGTGTTTTGCGCGCCGGTAGGGGGGCGGCGGCGGCGGCGGGTACCGCGAGGTCAAGAAGGACGAGGCCAGGCTCAGGTCGGGGCATGCCCTCCAGCGGGGCATGCCCTCCATCGTCCCCAGAACACTTTTCTATACATAAAGGAAAAAGAACTATGCACACGCACCGATTCTGGCCAGGCCCATCCTGAGCCCAGGATCGGTGCATACGCCCTCCTGCCTTGGCCAGGAAGGCATGTGCCCCGATCCTGGGTCCAGGATGAGCCTTGCCATGATCGGTGCATGTGCATAGTTTTGGCGGGGGGTAGGGGGAGGGGGGAAGGCTTCTTAGAAGGAGGCTGCTTCTTAGACGGCGCCGGCCTTACATCTACAAAGAAAGCCCTGCACCTTCTAAGAAGCAGGGGTGCTTCCAAGAAGCCTTCCCCCCTCCCCCTATAGCCCCTTCTGCGCGCGGCCAGCAGTTCTCTTCGCCCGACTGCAATTCCTGAAGACCCCTCCTGTGGAGGGGCCTGCCCGACGCGAGGCCGGGGAAGCGGGAACGCCCGCTCCGGAAGGCAGCACGCGGGGGCGAGCCGTCCTCCTCCCGGGCCGAGCCGGCGGCCGCGGCGCGCTGCTCGGCCACCGACAGGCGCGCCTTCTTGCCGCGGTGCACGGCCTGCGTCGCGAAGGGTGTGAGCTTAGTGCGCCCCCCTGACCTTCCAGGAGGGCTAGAAAATAGCACGCGACTTAAAAACCTATCCCAGAGCTATTCTACGTCTTTTTTTACAAACAAAGCACGTGTGCGTGTCCGCGCCAAATGGAGGCATGATCTGGATGCCGCTCGGGACGCCGTCCCAAGTCTGTATGCGCAGCATGAAAATGCTTCACAGACTGGTACTTGAGCGTCAATGGTATAAGAGAGGAGGGAAGAGGAGAAGGAAGCTGCGCAGCAGAGCCTAAATGGCCAGGGCAACCCTTGCCATAAGACAAGCTCTACGGGACAGGGGAAAGAGGAGAGCACCCGTCCCTACGATGCTGTAGCTTGGCATGATGGGTGCTGAAAGCTCCCAAACGCACATGCCACTGCGCAGAATCGAAGCCCTTGCGGAGAAGTGCCGCGTGCCTCCTCCCCGCAGGGCCGAGAGGGGGGGGAAAATGCCCCGAGTGGAGCCGAACGCGCCCCGCTGGCCCGCGGTCGAAGACACCACCCCCCCCTTCACGATCCTCCATTCCCGATCCTCCACCCCTCCAATCCGTCCTGCAGGTTCGCCCTGAACGTGCGGGGTGCCACAGGCAGGCCCCCGCGGGCGACGGGGCACGGTGGCTGTTCACGGCACGCCCGATCCATACTGACGCCTGACTGGCGGCCGAAGCACTAATCGTGAGCGCACAGCGTTGCCAAAAATACCTGGCCCCTCTAAACGAGTGCAATAGCCTTATCAAAAACTCATGGAACATGTGAGAATGCGCTTGCTTGCCTCCTTAGGTCCTTGGGGCAAGCAAACAAAGTGCTAAGTACGGAACGTACATGGGCACACAGACGCTATCACGTGGAGTCGTGGGGGGAGGGGAAGGGGGAGGAGCAGGGCCGGAGAGCCCTGTGACCCGCACTAGCGCCGCCACCCGGCGTCCTGGCCACGTGGCGAAGAGCAAGGCGCTGTATGCGGAAAAGCGTGCTGCTGAGATCGCTTCGCCCGATGAGCGGGCGGGCGCCGGCCCCCGCTGGAACACGGCGCCTTTGTATGGCGGAAAACATCCAGCGGCTTGAAAGAGTAAAATCCGGGAACGGCCAGCAGCACGCCAGTGCACTGAACTTGAATTATGCTGGATGCTCAACACCCGTTACCCCGGCTCTTCCGCCCAGCGGGCGTGACCGCCGAGGCTCCAAAGCCTCCGAGATGCAGCTCGAATCCGCTCCTCCAAATTTGCTCTCCCATTTCCTCCCTTATCCTCTATATCGGGTAGCGCGGTCGCCAGAACCGGGATCGATTGGCAACAATAGAGTTGCCCACCCGAACAGATTGAAGGTGGCAGCCCTGCTGGCTGGGAGGATGAACGCAACACCTGCATATACACACTGTGAGCGGCGCAGGCGCTGCACCTCACAGCACAGGTCACCTTCCCCCCATTCATCCAGTCTGAAGTCAACTGCACGAGGCGCCGTCGCTGAACATCCGCTGCCCGAGCCGGTGGGAGCCGCGCTGCGTCGGGGCCAGTCTGCCGGTAAGGCGCCGAATCCTCCTCGTGGGCGCGGGGAACGGCACCCGGCTGCCCTTCGAGAAGAGTGCCGGCTTCCAGACCTCGGTGGTCTGCTTCATGACCCCCAAGTTGCGGTAGACGCGGATGTTGTTCTCGAGGCCCTGCCGGTCACTCCAGCACACGCTGCACGTCTTCAGGCTCTTCTTGGGCCACGCCTGGAAGCCATCGAAGGCGATGAAGAAGCAGGTGGCGATCTCAGGACTGACCGCGTTGACGAACCCATAAAATGACAAAGATCAGGGGCTTCCTGACCGCATAAAACCAATTGTCGCTCGATGAGCATGCCCAGCTATGAAGAGCAGCAAGGCCACAGACAATTCCTCTGACACCATAGATCAGACGAACAACATGCTCCTACAACATTCCCACAGTATGGGTAGACCGCGTGACGAGCATCTGCTGGCAGTACACAACGCCGGGGCGAGCCGGCTGCTCCCTCCGAGTCACTTGATGACGAAGAGGAAGAAGGAGGAGAAGAAGGTGACGATGATGGTGAAACAACAGTTTGAGCCACAAGTGTTGAATTAGCCCATAACATACAGTATTGAGCACGTCGCAAACCACCAATTGAACAATTCACCAAAGAATGCAAAAAATGCAATGGGAAAATTCTGGGGCTGCCTGCTCGTGCTGCAGAAGGTCAGCCTGAACGCGGCGGTCAGCCACCACCACCTGGCAGGCCTGAACCTGAGGTCAGCCTGAAGTATCTTGGGCCCACCGGGTCGCATCCGGCAGCCCGCAGTACATGCCACTCGCACCGCAATTGGCGAGATGGTCCGCTCTCTCGTTCAAGAACTGGCCCGTGTGGGATTCCACCTTGCGCCATTCGATGGAAGAAAAGATCTGGTCGTAGATGTGGCGGGCTCTCAGCACGAGCGTGAGATTCTGCCGTGCCCGGGTCCGCCGCTGAATGACACCGGCCGCGTACTCCGAGTCGTACTCAATGATCGCCTTGGCCGGCTGCCGCGCGGCAGTGCTCAAGTGGCCCCGCAACCACGAGAGGCCGAAGAAGAGGGCGCTGAGCTCTCCGACGTTGTTGGAGTGCTGTGTGGCCCCGATGTAGCAAGGGTCGTTGACGTTGGTAACTGTGGGGCCGCAGTAATCCAGCAGCGCATGGCCTCCGGGGGCCGCCACAGTGAAACCCCAGCCCGAGGCTTCCTCGTCGTTCACAGATCTCGACGACCCATCGCAAGACAGGGTGAGGTCGAGCGGGTACTGAAAGTCTCCAGCTCCAGGCTGTGCAGGAAGATGATCGGCCGGCTCGGCGGCCCGCCGGACAGCTGCCACGTCCATGCCGGGCTTGACGCGCTTCAGCGGCGGCAGGGCAGAACGATAGATTGTCATGAGTGGTTTGGAACGCGGCTGGTCCATTGTCAAACGTACCGGCTTGCCCGCTCGGTGGTCTGCCAGAGCCTGGGTAGCAATGGCATTCACACGCAACAGATACGATGATATCGCTATGGCGTGGTCAGGATGCACTGGTCTGGCTCCATACGACGCCGGGATAAGCCCACAGCGCGCCAGACACGGCGGAAGGTCATCAGGTAGTGTGTGCTCTGGAGCAATGCCGTCCAAGGCGCGGCGCTCGTCCCGATTGCACGGGCAGAGCCATTGGCGGTGCTTCACGCACTCCACGTCGGCGCCGCAACGCGCACAAGTGGCGTCGTGGCTGTGAAAGGGGATCTTGGTGATGTTAAGGGCTGTCCACAACCCTCCGGTAGTCATAGCTGGCCCCCCGAAGTGTAGTTGCGCCCAATACATATGTTCACGAACATCTCGCACTTCGGAAAGCCCGCCTTCGAGGCCGCCAAAGTCACGCGGACGCCGGGCAGCTTCTTGAGCAGTGACACAATAACGAAGAAAGACACGAAGGTCATGTAGCCGCTTAGACACCCCAGCCAGCCGACGCAGTCGCTTGGCGGCGCCGCGCTCGGCATTCGCCAAAGCCTCTGGCGGAATACGGAAATCGAACGCCTTCGTCCCGCAAGTGAGCTTTGTGGCAGAAGTCCACTGGATGTTGAGGAAGGCGCACGCCCGCTCCAGCTGCACGAAAGGCCCGAACTGGAGGGCCTGCCGGGTCTGCCACAGACGGCGCCACACAGGGGGGCGAAGAAGATCTTCAAGCAGCAGATGAAAGAAAGTGCGGATAGCAGTGTAAATCACCACGCAAGGCAGATGAGTCCGATGCAGGCCGGGTCCAGGAACGTGCGTCATGGGCCGCGAGCGTCGGACGACCGTCCCTGGGCGCGCACTGCCCATGAGCGCGGTGGCTGCCGTAGACACCGCCGTCGTGAACTGGCCCTTGGTGTAAGCGAAGCCGCCTTCTGCCCACAGAGCCGCCGTGGCGTCCGCGACGCCAGCACCGCGTTGAGCATAAGGAAGAAGACGAACAACACCGAGTCGCAGACGATAGTCGGCCAGCCGCCGTGTAGCCACTGGTGCCGGCGCAGCCGGGCCCATGATAAGATCAATGCCCAAGTAGCGGAAGCTCTTGCGGCACTCGATACGTGACAGAGCGCGACCATGGCAGGGAGGTGCCCGCCGGCCTTTGGCGACGACGCCGCCCCGCGCACATTTCCCCAGATTGAGCACCGGGCCGATCGCGAGGTCAACCTGCTGGGTGGCGGCGAGGATCGCCTCGAGGTCGTCCCACGAGCGCGCCATGACGAACCGGTCGTCGAGGTAAGAGAAGTGCAACGCAGTCGGCACAGCCCTCTCCGCATGCAGGTGCCAGAGGACGGATGTCAGATTGCACATGAAACAAGCAAGCGGGCACCCTTGAGGCACCCCGACCAAATTGTCGCCCTGAAGCCATACGTCCGTAGGCTGGTTGTCTACGAACAGCAGACGGGTAAGCTTTTGGTAATTGGTCAGTGCATGCGTGCACGCAAGCAGATGTAGATGCTGGACAAGAGCACGCAAATTGATAAGATCCAGTCGGTCGAAGCATTTCTCCAGATCCATTGACAACACGAACCATGCGTCCTCATCGCCCAACCGGGCCTGCGCGAGGCGCGTCTGGATCTGCCACAAAACCTCGGGAGAGCAGTGCCCGGGCATGGCTCCAGTGAGGCCGCGTGGTTTCCATAGCATCAGCCATTGGGTCAGCGACGCCGCGTGTCGTTTGGCCCATAACCGGTAGGTGATAGGTAGCACGGTCAGCGGGCGTCTCTCGTCAGAAGGTGCATCTGGGCCTTTGGGTATAAGCGTGACCCTCGCGTGAGCCCAGAAACGAGGCATACGACCTTGATCAGCAGCGTTGAGCAGTGCAGCAAGCCGCTCCAGAGAATCTCGATGTAAACACTCGATCCAAGCAGCGTGGTGGCCCTCGATGCCGCACGCTCCTTGTGGCAAGTACTCCAGGATGTGCTCCGGCCCCCAGTTGCCCGGGGGGGCGTAGGCAGGCACGGCGGGTAGCACACGTAAGTCAAAAGGTTCCCGTCGCAACGGCGGTGGCGGCCCCCGCTTCTCCGTCAAGATGGCCGGGTCCATGGGGCAGCGCGCAAAATCGACTCGCAAACCAGGCAAATGAGACACCTGATATACTCCAGAATTCCACCGGGATGCAAGTTCGAGTCCAAGTCGTCGTGCAAGCTCCCGGGCAGAGAAAACAGCAGCGCCGAATCGAGGCAAGACGGCGTCCCGCAAGCTCAGAACCCGCGCCTTGACCCATTTCGCGGCGCCTCCCCGCGTGGCGGTGCGCTCTCGCCAGGCCTGTAGGCGCCCCGCGCTGCCGTCATCAATGATGGAAGTAATGAGGCTGAGGGTGTGCTCCGCCGCATCGTACCGTAGATCGTGCCGTTGGCGTCTGAACGTCTTCCAGAGCCCGGACAACTCGCGGGCGCGCAAGCCCGCCGACCAGCTGCCGCCAGAGGCTTGTCGTAAGATTTGCGCAACAGGGGCTCCAGCTGCATTTTGCCATACTTCCCAAGCCAAGTCAATATCTGTAGACACCGCGGCGGTGAAGTCATCCTTCTGCGCCGTCGTCCACGCGCCCAGCTTGAGCGCCTCGGAGACGCTCAACCGGAGAGCTTCATGAAAGGCAGGGCGGAGACCGACCTCGATAAGAACAGGTCGATGTTGGACACCAGGGAGGGGCTCCAGGCCCTGCGCACTGGCTGTGGCAGCCAATGCAGTAGACAGAACCGCTCCGTCAATTGTAGTTGACCACGAGTCCGTAGCAGGATTGAGCCTGTACGTAGGGCAATCAGGAAATACCACTGCGTAGCTGTCCGCATCCACCTGCGCAGGGTACTCGTTGAAGTCGCCAATATCGATTGTAAGAGTGCCACTTTCGGCCAAAAGGTTGTCATCGAATCGTCGGCGCTCGGCCGCCGAGCCGGAATGAGCGTGTCGATGCCGTAGCAGAACACGGTGCTGACCTAGCTGAAGTGCCAGGCGTTGGATACGAAAATCCTGATCATGAGGTAGCGGGGCCGTCGGGGCGATATTGCAGCCATCCCGGACGACTGTACACAGGCCCTTCGAGCCCACCAGGGGGTAGTAACCCAGCGATTGCAGGTCCTGCCTCAAAATGTGCTGCTGTCCGTTAGTCAAGCTGCACTCCTGGAGGCAACACACGTGAGGCAGATGCTCAGCCAGCAGAGCCAAAACAGCAGCCCTGCGCTTGGTGTAGCTGCCGACGTTGAGCGTCAGCAGCTTCATGGCGTCCTTCACCATCAGGTCAAAGGAGGCCGCGTCGCTGCCGCCGTGCATGCGCATAGACGGCATGCTTGTCCCGCTTGCGCTGGAGGCGGCGCTCCCGGTCGGCGGCTGTGCCCTCAGCGACGGCCGCTTTGATCAGCGCCAGCCTCTCGTCGACGGTCAGGGCGGCCGCCTCCTGCTGAAGATCGCCGGGGGCCCCGTAACAAGGGGTGGCAAAAGACTCGCTGCCCATTGCAACCGAAGATTGCCGGCACTGGTGCCCGCAGAGGCTGCACTCGTAGACAGCCCTGGTCCTGCCGGGCCCCCGGCCTTGGCTGCTCGGGATGGCCGCGGCCAGGCGGCAGGCCCATCTCGGAAGAACCGTTGATCGCCTCCAGCTTGGCACAGTGATCGCCCCGCGCGGTCTGGATCATTTTCGCACGGAGCTCCGCAGAAGCCGCAAGTCGGCGCATCAGGGCCTTCTGCTCTGCGGAGTGGGCCGGGCGCGCCTGGAAGAGGATGTCCTTCCCCGCAGCGCCGTGGGCAAGCAGATGCTGTCGGGTAACGCACTCGGGGCTCTGGGTCCCCGTCGGCAGAGTGAACGGACACAGCGGACACTTCCAAGAATCAAACTTCGACGTCTGCTGGGTGGTGATGTCCATGAAAAGGAAGCGGCTGATGGCAACTGCGCGCCGGCCGGCCTTGGGGCGGACCAGGCCAAGCTTGACGAGCTCGGCTGCCCTCTCCCGAGGCCCTTGAGGAGGCGTCGAACAACTCAGACAGGTCGCATTGGCGCAAAACCGGGCAGGGGCCGTCTGCGCCACAGTGCCGCGCCATACACGGGGGCACTTTGCACATCGGATGCCGCAGTCGAGCAACTCCGGCGAGCACAGCCAATCGATGGCACCGGCTGCGGCGCGATAGCGTGCAGCGGTCTGCACGGCCGACGCGCTCCAGGCGTTCGGCGGGCCAACTGGCGGTGCCGCAGCAGGGCGTCTGCGCGGCAAGGTGGACCGCGCCCGCTGCGCCTCTCTGAACGAGACGGCGGCCGGGCACTTGCGGACAGGCGCCGCCGCGGGCACGGCAGCGTTCACTTCGATGCACTGCTTGGCGTACTCGACGGCCGCGGCCCTGGACATGTGCGACAGCGCCAGGGTGCCCAGCCTGTGCCCTGGAGACATGCGACGGTGCCAGGGTCCCAGACTTCTGAGAGGCGGCCCCTCGCGGCAGAGATGCCCGGAGAGTCCCGCTAGGCGGAGCCCCCCTCGAAGATGGGAGCGTGCCAGCCTCGCTGGCAGCCCCGGCCGGGATCGTCTCCGCAGCAGCGCTGCGGGCAGCTGGCGCCCTCGCGGAAGAAGACCGCCCACTGCGCAATGTACCAGAAGCTGAAGATGCTGGAGCAGAGGCAGCACTCCGGCAGCCCAACGTCCGTGATGGAGCCGAAGTGGCCGCGGCGCGGCCTCCGCCCTTGAGCTTCCACTCGCGCTGGGGGGCCACTTGAACCGCGGCGCCCGCCGGAGGTAGCCTGAGGCGGTTGTACTCCGCCACCGCGGCAATGTGCTCGCGACGGTTCTGACTGTGCGTAGGGCCCATGCTGGGGTCCAAAGGTTCGAAATGGCCGCTCCGGAAGACAACCCAGATGTGGCTCCTCCCGGTTTTAATCGTTAATGTCGGAGAACCTGGTCGTACCACATGAACTTTCAGATTCCATCGATCTGCAGCGGCAAGAATCTCGAGCTCCCCAGCCCAGGAATCAAGACGCTTCATTTCGGCAAGGTATGCGGTCCAGGAGGCGCAGGGGCGCCCCTTGGAATCGAGTCTGTCCCACAAAGGTTCAAAAAGCTTGCTCCGCTGCTCGAGCTGCGCCACCGTCTGCGCCCGCAGCGCCGCCGAGCACGTAGTAGACCGCTTGGCCTTCTCGAAGCAGAACTTCAACGAGTGGAAGAAGCAGGCGCCGTCCGTGGGCACCGTCCTGACGGTGAGGCCAAGGTCCTCGAAGACCTCTTCCTTGGCTGTGGCCATGGCGGCGTCGCCCCCATTAGCAGCAGCAGCGTCATCAGATAGTCGAGCCCGCTTGGCCGCCTTGGTTTCCTTCTCTGCGGGCGCCGCCACCTTCGCCGACTTGGCGGGGTCAGCGGCCGGTGGAGGAACGTCCCATCGCAGCTCCCCATTTCGAAGATTTCTGAAGGCCGTAGGTTTCAATGCAGGGCGGTATGGTTCGAAATCGATGTACACGACCTCGTCGCCACACATAGTAGAGAGCGTTGTCGCAGTGTTGGCGCCACCAGGGTTACAACCTCGAAAGATGAAGGAAGAACCAGTAGACGTGGTCCGACGCCGAATGGTAGAGATATCCACAGCTGGCCACGAACTCGTAGTCAACCAATCTGCAAACTGCTGGATGGTAAGCGACCGTGGCAATCCAGAAGCTCTCCACGACGTCTCCTGGAGCCCGCCAGGGATCCGCAACCCGAGTGAGCCAGAGTTGCTGAAGGCGAGGCCCAAGCATGGCGAGGATTGCTCAGCCAGGCCACGCGCACGTGTCAACAGCGCAGGGCCCAGCTCATCGTCGAGACGCTTGACCCACTTGACGTTCCCAAAGGTAGGAGGCGCTTTGGGGTCCTCCGGTAAAAGACGAGACAACCATCCACCCACACCAGAAGCCCTGTCGATGAGCTCGGCGTGAGGCGCCGCGACACGGACGTTCACGGAGAGGATGTTGCCGTCCTCGCTGCGGCAGGGCTTGAAGATGTCCACCACGTCAGCTGCTGGGACGCGAAGGCTGGCCAGCCAAGCCTTGGCAGCCGACTTCACGTTTTTGCTGCGGGCTGCCCATTCCTTGTCTGGCAACAAGGTCTTGAAGATAGCGAGCCGCAAGACCCTGGTGGTCACCGCGGCTGGCAGGGGCTTGCATTCCTGGGTAGTCCAGCGCACGGCTGCTGCAGGCGCCCCAAACTGTCGGAGGTAAAGGGTCACCACCTTGGGGGCGCCCTTGCCGTCGAGGGCGGGCGCTCGGACAGTCGCTGCCAGCGGGTCCGGGGCCCTGAGGAGCACCGAGATCGTGGCCCGTTCGGGCATGGTGTGGCCAACAAGGCCTGCAGGGACCTTGTCACACACCCCGTAAGTCAGATGATGCCCAGCTTGCACCTCGAACAGGGCGTCGAGTTTGTCCACGACAGTGCCGCGCCAATGCGCTGGGAAGAGCTGCGTGGGCTTGAAGCTGGGCGAATGCGCCGCAGCCTGGGGGGGGGGGGCGCCGAGCAGGTGCTCGCGCTGGGGGGCGGCCGAGCGAGGCTGCGGCTTCGCCTTGGAGGCGGCCTTGGGCTTGGCCTTCGGCGAGGCCTTGGGCGTGGCCTGCGGCGAGGCCCGTGAGCTGCCTGAGCGGTCGAGCCGTCCATCAGCAGCCACCGCCACCACCGCCTTGAGCTTGGAGAGCAAGGACGCGGTGTCGTTGTCCTTGGCGCGCGCCACAATCTTCTGGAGAGCGCCCAGGAGGCCCTCCTCGCGCGCCGACTGGCGCTGTGCCTTGCGGCGCTTCGATTGGGAAGGGCGCGGCTCCCGGGGAGCGTTGCTTGCAGAGGGCGGAGGCCGGCTCCCGGAGGGCGCCGAGAAGTTGGCCAGCAGCTGCTGAAGCCCGGCCAAAAGCTGCTGTTCTTGAGCTTTCCTGGCGCGTGTCTGAGGGCCGCCTCCCTGATCGCCGCCGCCTCCGCGAAGCTGAGAGCCCAGCGGCCCTGGCTGCCCAGGAGACGGTCGAACATGGTCAGGCTGATCTTGAGGACGTGGCTCAGCTCGGTGGCCACAGTGCGGTGCATGTCGAAGGCGCCGCCAAAGGATACGATGAAGGAGTGCAGCACCCAGGTGAAAGAGAAGACCCGGATGAAGAAGCACAGCGCCCAGGCGAAGACACCCACCCACAATCTGAAGAGGATGCCGCACAAGACGTCGTCCAAGATGAAGAAGAACAGCACCCAGGAGAGGAAGAAGTCGACCCGGATGAAGAAGCTCAGCACCCAGGTGAAAGCACGCGCGTGCATCATGTCGCACGCGTCGAAATGTGTCACAACATCCACGACCCTGAAGTTCAGCAATGGCCCCGGGCTCGGACATGTGGACGTGCTGGCCGTAACGGTCTGGACGCACGGGTCCAGTCCCATGCAGCCTAAGGTGTTGCTCCTGCCCCAGGCGCAGACGCGAGGTGGCATGAGCCATGTAGTGGCATCCCTGGCGCAGAATGCGCCGGAGCGAACGGCGAAGCCGCCTCCGGAGCAGAAGAAGGCCAGCACCAGGAAGCACAAGAATTCCATGTCGCCGAAGATGGCCTCGCCCTCGAAGCCATCGACGATCTCCGTGAAACCCTCGCCCACGAGGACCACGGTAGCGTGCAGGTCCTGCACGGCGCGCGCTGGACACAGTCCGCCTCGAGCCAATCAGAACCAGGTGATAGAATGAAGAATCGTATTGTGGGGCAGACTTACGAGATAACCTGCTGCCCCAAACCTGCCACATGCGCACGAGCCCCAGGCACATAGCAAGTATTCCCAAAAGAGCTAGATAGTGAAACATCAAACCCACCAAACTTCCCCCCAAGAGAGATGAGTTGCTAGAAAACGTGCACGCCGTAAGCCCCTTCAAGACCGTTGAGTTGTAACACTCCGAGGTCTCGTTGAAGTCCGTCTTGACACCGTTGGCACAGGGCAACAGCATCATGAAGACCATCATGATCCAGCTCACGCTCATGCTGGTGGAAACCGTCTGTGCAGCACTTCGCCGAGCCCTTCCCTCCAAGGAAGGCGGGCTCTCGCCATCACCCACGCGTGTCCTCGTACGAGGCGCGGACGCGGCTGCATGTGGGGCGTTGGCGAACCCATAGCCGAGATTCTGGTTCGTTTTGAAATCAACCGGTAGGTACACCAGGTCGTACTGCGTTCGAACACACCTGCTGATAGCAAGCCACCCTAACTCTGGAGTGGTGCTAGAAGAGGGCGAACTCCTAGTCGAACGAGGAGCCGCCGTTGAGGTCGAACGTAGCGGCGACGATGGCCAGCCCAAGCCGGCACGCTGCCACCTGCATGGTTCCGCGTCGTTCCGGGGTCCTCCCCGCATCGTAGGTGATCCAACCGGATTTGGCCGTCGCCCGGGGCTGGGTGCGCCAGAAGGAGGAAGGAAGGCGTAGATCTCTGGCGATCGCTGCGCGCTCCGTGTCGAAGCGCGGGCAGTCCTGGAACATGTGCCGGAGGCTGGCGAGCGGCTGGCGGCACCATGGGCACGGCGCTGCCTCGCCCCCCCGCGTCGGCGTCTTGGTGGCCCCCGACCGGAAGATGTCGAGGAACTTCTTGTCGCGGTGCGACAGCGATCTGTGCCACTTGGCCCAGACTGCTGTGCTGGAGGCGTCCACGTCGACGCGGGCCACTCCAGCGGCGTCAAGCCTCGTACTGTGTACGCTTTCAAGACAACGTACGCGTGCCACTGCACGCAGGACGCGTGCTGCCGAGGGTGAAGACGTCCAAAAAGACCAGTCGTAGCGGCGAATGCCGGCAGTAACTTGAAGAATCTGATCAGAATCATTGCGGTCCACGAACACCTGAAGGCCCCACTCGGGCTCGAACCGGCCAATGGTCAAACCCAGAAGCTTGAAGTGTTCGGCGACTGCTCGTCGTGCAAAAGGGCTCCAGACCAGGAACGGACTGGCCAGTGCTTTAACAGCAATGATGGCCGGCGAGAGGAGCGGGTGCAGCATGATGCGCTGAGCCCACCATCGCCCGTGGCACCACCACGTGCACTTTGAACGTAAGATTGCCCTGAACAGCTGGCCCGGCACAGTGCGGGGAACAGGTGCCACCAGCGGGGCTGCCCAGCTCCACAATGGGCGGATGCACGCCACGCTGAGCCGCTCGCGCACGTCCATGGCCCCCGGGAGCGAGGCGAGGACCGCGAGGGCAGTGAGCAACTTTTTCCAGTTCCCCCTGGGGAGGATGGGCTGGGACGGGTCTGCCGGCACCGCCGTGAGGCCTAGGTGCTCCACCCGCTGCTTGCCCTGAGCGCCCCACTCCTGGCGTTTGCCGGCGTTCTCCACGAAGCCGACGTCGTTGTCGAAGGCTTGCGTGGCCTCTAGACCGGCCCGCAGGTCCTCGGCGGCGCGTTCACCCTTCGCGCCCAGCTTCTGTCGTCCATGAACGCCCAGCCCAGGGCGGGCTCTGGGCGCCACGGGACGAGGGCCGCCGTCATGGCACCCGGGGCGCAGCTGTCGCCCTGTGGCAGGGCCTTGGTAGGCCAGATGGCCTCTGAGAGCTCGTCCGAGACGCAGCAGACGCGAGGGCCAGCCCCAGCCAGCCGGCACGTCATGATGACCGTCTCGGGGACTGCCTCTTTTCTGAACGCCTCTTCAGCGATGCGGTGCGCAATATTATCGTACGCTTTAGTGAGATCCATCTCGAGCCCCGCGGTGCAGGCCTCCGAGAGCCAGTGGCTGACGGCGTGGACCACGGACGTGCGGCGACGGCACGCCCACTGGTTGGCTGCCACCTCTGGCAGGGCGAGCGCGAGGGCGCTGAGCCAGCTCCGGAGCAGCACGCTTGCCACGCCGATGGGGCGCGACTCATTCTCGTCTTTCTTAGGGATGCCGACCACGCGCCATGGGAACACCAGCAGGGCCAGGTCGCGCGGCGCGCGGCCGGCGTGCTGCGCGGCGTAGATGGACGTGTGGCACCACAGGCAGTACAGCTCGGTGATGATCGGCGGCGCGATCTGTAGCAGAAGCTTCACCTCCTTGGAGTTCCATCCGTCGAAACCGGCGGCGCCCGTGGCTTTCTTCAGGGAGTGGATGAACTCCTCCTCTGACGGGAGCCACTGCTCCTCGAAGGCGCTCTGCGGGAACTCCGCGCCCTCCGCCCACTCCAACCAGCGCGCTGTCAGGGGCTCAGGGTCGTAGTTGGGAGGGTCCCAGTGTTGCTTCCGCTCGTCCCGCATGGCCGCCGCGTCGAAGCCGGCGGCGGGAGCAGGCGCCCGGAAGCGCGGCGTGGCGTAGTTGTAGACGTCGGAGCTCCACTTGGCGAACACGGTGGCCCACGATCGCACCTTGGAGTTTGATATCTTCTGCTGCTCGGCGGTGATGGCCGCAGAGAGGCTGTCCAGCGCACGGTGGTACGTAGGGATGCCCCCGGGCGGGGCCGTCACGACGCCATCCATGCAAGCTTGGGCGAACTTGGAGAGGTGCTTGTCGTTGAGCAGCACGTTGCCCTTGAAGTGGTGGCAAATCTGCTCATTGAAGCTGCGGTGCAGGCGGCGGGCACGCCAGAGCGCGACCGTCTCCTCCAGCCGGTGCGGCGGTGGGGCTGCCGTGGGCTGGCTGGTGGGCATGCTGCCCTTTTCTCGCTCGGGTTTCCTCGAGCATGTCGTCCATTGTTTCGTGGTGGCTTCCTTGAGGGCGTGCTCTGCCCGGGCGTGCCAAGCCCTCCATCGGTTCACGAGGGGCTCGGTGGCCATCGGCTTCGGAGTCACCTGGTCGCACGACTCCATGATGGCCTCGATTTCGGAGTCTGTGATGAAGGACAACTTGTGGGCTTGATACTCGGCTGTGTGGTGGAGCCGGTAGAGCTGCCGATGCTGTTCTTCAGCCGTGAGCGTGAAGATGGACAGGCTATGGTACGGGATGCCCTCCACGAAAGTGTTCGACAAATGGGATGGCTCATGCTCGGGATCCCCTCCCCAGACGAGCAGGCGCGATGGTGTGCTTCCGGCCGTGGTGGTGGGGCCGCAGGGCGTAGCAGCCTGCCAACCAGCACACACCTCACGACAGTAGCCGGGCTTCCAATTCAGATCGCCAAATAATACTGCTGTGTCGGCGAGGTCCTGCGTCCAGCCCATGGCTCGAACGAGCCAGGCGGCATCTCCTTGAGCAGGGCCATAACCAGATACGTAAGCCGCATTTGCTGTGCGGATGGCGACGGCTCGGTGGCCGAGGCTGCTGCTCCTGTATACCGTGATCTTGCCCACGGAGCGGCGCCACAGTATGGCGGTGCCGCCCTGGGTCGTGCTGCCTCGTACGTCTGTGGGCGGCGGGTCAGAACACGCCACGCCCCAGCCAAACTGGGCCGCAAGCTTGATGAGCCAAGGAGGTCGCTGCACGGCGAGCCGGAGCTCGCTCCAAGCCATGACCGTGACCGACTCCAACTGCGGGTGCCTGAAAATAGCCTCGGCCCTGGCCCGGGTGAGGCTGGTGACGTTGATGGAAGCGACCTTGACAGCCTCGGTTGTGTCGCCGCCTCCCATCAGCGGATCTTGCGGATCGGTCTAAGAGCTCTCCGGGGGGGCCCTCGGCCGCAACAGAGGAGTACCAACAAAACGGCCTCGGCGGCAACCTGGTCGAAGAACCGGGCCGCCAGCATGACGAAGAAGTGCTTCAGCGTGAGCCCCTCGATGACCCCGTGCTCGGCTGCGACGGGATTCGGCACGAGGGGGAAAAAGAGGAGGAAGGGGAGGACGTAACGGGCGCCCCTGACCTGCGTGAAAACGTCGACGACGACATGGAAAACCTCCCGGCCGACGTGACCCAAAATGAACTGCAACGCGAAAGTCTCGACAATGGCCCGGCGGAACTCCGGGGCGACCAGCTCGACGGCGACCCGATTCAACATGGACTACACCGTGAAGCTGGCGAAGATGACCTGATTCAGCGTGAGCTGCAACGCGATGCGCTCGAGGACGGCCCGGCAATGCTCCAGGACGGCCCGATTCAGCATGAACTGCGACGTGAGATGCTCGAAGACGGCCCGGCAAGGCTCCAGGGCGACACGATTCAGCACGATCTCGTGCGTGAAACTCTCTACGACGACCCGGAAAGGCTCCAGGACGACACGAATCAGCGTGAGCTGCATCGCACCTTGCTTGGAGACGACCCGGCAATGCTCCAGGACGGCCCGATTCAGCAGGAGCTGCGACGCACGATGCTCGAAGACGACCCGGCAAGGCTCCAGGACGACACGATTCAGCACGATGTGGTGCGTTGTCTGCCAACGGGGTAATATCAAAACAAAGATGCCGCCACACAGTGCCTTGGGATGTGGTGCGTGAAGCTCTCGACGACGACCCGGAAACGCTCCAGGACGACACGAATCAGCGTGACCTGCATCGCACCTTGCTTGGAGACGACCCGGCAATGCTCCAGGACGGCCCGATTCAGCATGAGCTGCGACGTGAGATGCTCGAAGACGACCCGGCAATGCTCCAGGGCGACACGATTCAGCACGATGTGGTGCGTGAAACTCTCTACGACGACCCGGAAAGGCTCCAGGACGACACAAATCAGCGTGAGCTGCAACGTAACTTGCTTGGAGACGACCCGGCAATGCTCCAGGACGGCCCGATTCAGCATGAGCTGCGACGTACGATGCTCGAGGACGACCCGGCAAAGCTCCAGGACGACACGATTCAGCACGATGTGGTGCGTGAAGCTCTCGACGACGACCCAGAAAGGCTCCAGGACGACACGAATCAGCGTGAGCTGCATCGCACCTTGCTTGGGGACGACCCGGCAATGCTCCAGGACGGCCCGATTCAGCATGAGCTGCGACGTGAGATGCTCGAAGACGACCCGGCAATGCTCCAGGACGACACGATTCAGCACGATGTGGTGCGTGAAACTCTCTACGACGACCCGGAAAGGCTCCAGGACGACACGAATCAGCGTGAGCTGCAACGTAACTTGCTTGGAGACGACCCGGCAATGCTCCAGGACGGCCCGATTCAGCATGAACTGCGACGTACGATGCTCGAGGACGACCCAGCAATGCTCCAGGACGACACGATTCAGCACGATGTGGTGCGTGAAACTCTCTACGACGACCCGGAAAGGCTCCAGGGCGACACAAATCAGCGTGAGCTGCAACGTAACATGCTTGGAGACGACCCGGCAATGCTCCAGGACGGCCCGATTCAGCATGAACTGCGACGTGAGACCCTCGACGTTGACCCGGGGGGGCTCCAGGACGAGCGAAGTCAGCGCGAGGTGCGGCGTGGGAAACTCCCGGTGCTGGCTCCATAGCTCGGTAGACGGGCTCTGCAGCTCCAGGTGATGAGCGTGATGCTTGGCCTAGTCACCGCGAGAGGCCCTGGTCGCGCCGGGCCTTCGCGAGGACGCGGTAGACGAACTGGTTGTTGGCCTCCTGGGCGCGCCGCTCAGGGGTCCAGCTGGCGCGAGCCCTCCGCGCCTTCTGTTGCAGGAGCGTCTTGTTCTTCTGGTAGTACTTGCGCTCCCGGGCCAGGATCGCGTCGCGGTGACGCTGGCGGCTCTCCCGCTTGAGCTTGGCTAGGCGCTCGGGGTTCCGAGAGCGCCAGTCGGCGTTGCACTTCCGCTGGGCAGCGGCATGTGTGGCCCGTTGGGCCTTGGCTTTCTTGGGGCCCAGGGAGCTCGCGAGGAACTGCGCCCGGGAGACGGTCTGCTTGTTTGCCCTCGCCGTGCAGGGGCAGCGCCGGCCTCGGCGAGGGTGCGATTCAGGCCGCACCGCACGCACTTGTAGGTAGCGACGGTGCCCTGCTTGGTCTCGCGGCGGCTGCCCTCCGTGCCGATGAGGTCGCAGAAGGCAGGCTGGATGCGTGGGCTGCGCTTGGCCAGGAAGGCCTGCCAGCGGGCAAAAGCGGCAGCGCCGCGGCGGGGGGCGTTGACGCCGGCGGCAGCGCGGGCGGCTCGGCCGCCGTCGGCGGCGCGGGGGGCGTTGGTGCCTTGACAGCTGCGCCAGTGGCGGTTCGCCTCGGTGCGGCGCGCATTGCAGGTGGTACTGCGTTCGAAAGCCGTGCGAGTCCAACAACTGCACGAACATGTCCCAGGTGAGCACGTACGGCAGGTTGCGGAACAGCAAGGTGGTGCGCCGCTCGACGGCCGAGGACGACGGTGGCTCGCCGAGGCCCGCAGACGTAGCACGCAGCGCGGGCGCCGACCGCGAAGCGCGGAGAAGTTGGCGGGGCTCCTCGTAGTGTATGAACGTGTTCCTGACCACCAACCTCCCGCCCAGCAGCTCCGCGCACCGGGCCGCGTCCGTTGCCCGCAGGAGCTGGCTCGACGGCATGCGAGACGCGACTGCGGCGTCGAAGAGGGACGCCTGGCTCACAAGGGTGGACGGCGGGGACAGAAGCCACTTGAGCCAAAATGGCTACGGAAGAGCTATTCTACGTCTTGGTTTTAGGCTGTGTCGTTTAGTTGTTTAGGTTTTTAGGCCTCCCATGCTAAGAAATAGCTCTCTGGAAGGTCAGGGCCTGGAAACGACAAGGCCGTTTTTTTACCGGTTCCGTTTTGCCGTTTTTTTGCCGGTTCCGACGCCGTTTTTGTTACCGGCTCCGTCGCCGTTTCTTGACTGGTTCCTCCTCCGGCTCCAATCCTGGAGCCGTTTTTTTGCCGTTTCGGGTCGCCGATGTTTTGGCGTTTCCATTTTCAATGGACATTTTTTAGGAAACGGAGAAAAACGGCCCTGCCGTTTCCGGGGTCCACAAAGGATGTGGGGGGGCAGTGCAGTCGGGGCTCGAACACACAAGAAACCTTGTCCATTCAGTTCTTGGTCTGGAAGCGTCACGCTCTCGACCGCAAAAAAACATCGAAGCCCAGGAGACCCAGGGCACCCTGGAGGCAAGCGGGGCGTCTCTTGGCATGGGTCTCCACTGTACCCTTCCGAGCGCCCACCTCCCGAGATGCCTGCAATGCCATCTCCCTCGCTTGTTCCTGTTCATGCGAGCGCCCGTGGTCAGGTCGCAGCTATCTCTAACCGCATCTCGTCATCGCCCTCCCACCCACGGCCAAGTACGCGTCGGATTGTCGAGTCGGTTTCCTAGGAACTTCGGATACGAGGTCTTACTGGCGGAGTCGAACATCGGGACTGAGTGCAGCTCGGGGCAGTGGCAACGAGGGCATAACAGGCGACCAAACAACTGTCTTGAACAATTCAGGGGATCTCGCTCTCGCATTCCCCTGCTCTCTTCCGTGCTGCCCGACGTATACCCACCAGCCCAATTGCCCAGGAGACCAGACTATAAACTGACACGACGCGTGCATGCAAGATCGAGAGGCCTGGATCACTTGAAGGGGAACTGGGACACACAAATAAACACGCACAAATAAACTATCCCCCATATTTTCCAATATTTTCGGGGTTTTTGTCTTCCCCCCCACTTCCCATATTTTCCTATATTTTCTGGGAATCGCCGATTAATTGTGACTGTGTGTTTTTTCCCCTCCTGAGGATCATTGCTCGACGCGACGGGCACGCGCGCCTCTCCCCGCCGCCGTGGAGATGCCCCCAGAGCTCGGCGGCACGCCGGCTGGAGACAGCGCCACCGCCCCCGTGGGCCCTCCTGTGGAACGCGCCGAGGACCAAGCGCCCTGCGATCTGCAGGACGATACTCCAGATTTCGTAATAAAAGGGAGGGGGTCTCAACCCTCCCAGACGAGAAGTTTTAGACCCCCCCCCCGTGGGAGAACCCTCCAAAACATCGTCCCCAGACCCCCCCAGGCCCTCCAAGATAGCCTGGAAGAGACCCCCCCCGAAATGAGACCCCCTCCCTTTTATTACGAAATCTGGAGTAGCGATGCCATGCAATCGTTGCCTCCAGGCACGCAGCAAACCCTGCCCCTCGCTGTTGGACGTCGTGCGGAACAACACGACGCCTAGGACATCCGGGAAACCTTGGACCCCCCGGACCGTATCCGTGACCTCTTGATCCTCCGAGCCTGGCCCGCCCGCTGCACCCTGCCGCCCACGCTTCCTGAATCCTGGCTGCTGCCGCGTTCTCCTCGTCGGTCCCCGCCGGCAGGTCCTTGGCGGCTCGCGGCGGCCGGCACCAGAGGGCGACCGCAGAGGATGGCAGGCGTCCGAGCAGGGGGTCCATATAGGGAACTCACTGTGCAGAAGCAGGTCTGGAGAAGGCTCCGTTACGGTGGGCGCGCACGCGTGCACACGCACATACACCTTCTAACCATACCCTGCCCTGCCCTTTGCGCCCTCCCCCCCTTCACCCTCCCCTTTGCCTCAATATACTCCTCCTCACTCTCCGCCTCCGCATGTGCCCGCCCCTCCTACTTTTCTCCGCATGCTCCTCCGCAACAATTTTCGCTTAAGCATATCGGCCCGGGTGGCCGCCTCGCGAGCAGGCGGCAAGGGGCGCCAGCGGCAGATGAGGTGCAGACGGTCGGCGGCGAGCCCGGGGGGGGGGAGTGAGAAGGGGCGGGTCTTCTCAGGAGGCTCGGAAGTCCCCCGGCTTTCTGAAAAGTTTCCTGAGTTTTCTCCGAAGACGCAGAACACCTCGCAGAAGGGCCGGGGGCTTCTGAGAAAGCCCGCCGCCTTCTGACAAGGTCCGCCGCCTTCTGAGAAGGCCTTCTCCTTCTCACTTCCCCCTCTCCTGAGCAGGGACCGACCGTCCCGGCATTCCTATAGTCATGCCACGAAATGTTCTTAGAAGCCAAAAATGTTCTAAGAACGAAAGAACAATGTTCTTAGAACATGAGCCCGATGGGTTAAAAGAAGACAGTCCCAGCCAGAAGTGTTCTAAGAGCATGTCGTGGGAGCCACCAAAGGTTCTTAGGACATTGTTGGGTGGGGCTCTAGGCGAGCCGGGACGCTTCGCCACCGCTTGACTCTCGCTCGCCGCCGATACGCGGACCCCTCCAGACCCCGCAACCGGCGGCAACAAGCGTGGCGAGCGCGAGGGCGCCGCGCAGCGTTCGCACTCGTCGGTGTTCCCTGCCCCCTCGGCCTCGTCGTTGCTCCCTTTTCGTTACCCCCACTTCACCCTGCTCGTTGCCTCCTGCACCAAATTCCACCAAATTCACTATCCTCGCATCTCTTCTCCCCCGCGGCTCGTCTCGTCAAGAGCACAGCCTACCTGCCCTCCCTCCGTACCCCTCGCCCTTGCACCGCATCCACACCACGCTGCAGCTGCTGAGTAGACGAGTGTCCCGCAGGGTAAGCTCGCGCCGGGCGCTACTAGGAAGGGGTCGTAGCCCAGGGTGCTCCCCCATCTTTCCGGCGCCATTTGGAGCGCCTCTGTGGGGCCCTCTGGGCCTTGTGAAAGGTGCTCTGGAAGCCATCTGCGCCTCCCCGTGCACGCTGGGACCACCTGGGCCAAGGTCACCTCTGGCAACGCCAACGCCCGGCGTCATGCCCATCCGAGCTCTCTGCATTGAGGATTGTCTTACGTTTTGTCATGGCCTGCGCGGAGCTCGCTGCAAACACCCTCCTGCATCAAGGATTGTAGATGAACCGAGCTATGGGTGTCTGGGATGCTTGAGCGTTCTCGATACCTTTGGAGCGGGGCTCGGACTCCAAATCTCCAACATTCCCTTCGATAGCCCCAAGCCCAAGGGGCCGCCCCGAAGCCATATTTGGGGGCCTCTGGAGCGTCCAAGATGGCCCTCAATATCGCCCCAAGACGCCCCCCCCACGCCGCCAGGAGGGACCCAAGAGGCCCCCAAAGTGGCCCCGAGAGAGGCCCAAGAGGGGACACTCGAAGGTGCGCGGGGGGCTCCCAGGGCCGCCTCCAGACTACATGAGGGACGGCCTCCAGACCACTCGGATTCTAGTAGGGGATCGACTACAGGATGGATTTGTCCAAGAATCCCACCAGCCCTCTGGGCGTCGGTGGTTTAGGGAGTTTCCTCTTCCACCCCTCCTTCTTCCCATTCGGGGAGGGGTTTACCCCTCCCCCTACCCCCCTGCCCTGGACCTGGACAGGGGGGCTTCGCGAGTCGTCGGAGCGTCCAAAACGGCCTCGGCGAGGAAGCCAAAATCATTGATTTTACCACGTGGGTGGCCCCATTTTGGCATCTTTGGGGGGGGGGGGGGGGGGGGCGCCAGTTGAACACCCCCCCTCCTGTGATCGATCTCACCCAAGATGGTCCAAAGATGGCCCCCAAAGCTCCCAAGGGTGCCCCAAGAGGGCCCCAAGAGGTGGCCAGGAAGCCCCAAGATGCCCCCAGGATGCCCCCAAGAGGCTCCCAAGAGACCCCCAAGAGACCTCCAAGAGACCTCCAAGATGCCCCCCAGAGGCACCCAAGACGGTCCACGAAGCCTCGGCGAAAATGCCAAAATCGCTGATATTACTAAGGTGTTGGCAACATATTGGCCTCCTGGGGGGGGTCACTGCTTCAGATGACTCCAAGAGCGCCTGGGAGAGCCAAAGATGATCTCCAAGATGGCTCAAGATATCCCAAGATGCCTCAAGATGGCGCCCACGATGCTCCAAGAAGCCCCAAGGCCGCTCAAAAACGGCTCCAAGCCCCCCAGGAGGCCAAAATCATTCCAAAACCATAGGGGCAATCAACGTTTTTGGTTTTCTCGCCGAGGCCTCAAGATGGCTCCAAGATGGCCCAAGAGGGCTCCAAGAGCGCTCCCAAGGCTCCTAAGAGCGCTTCAAGAGGGCCCCGAGAGGCGTCCAGGAGGCCCCAAGAGGCCCCAACAGGCGCCCCAGAGGCCTCCAAGAGGCTCCCAAGAGACCCCACGAGGCCCAAAGAAGCTCTCCGAGACAGCCAAGACGCTAAGAGGCGCCCGGGACCGCCAAGAGGCCCCCAAAACGATCCAAGAAGCCTCTCTTGGGGGACCCTTCCTCTGTGTGCTGCCCGCTTCCCTGCTCGAGTCGATTCCTCTGGGCATAGTTTCTGGATGGGCTGGTGGGGATTATTTTTCGGTCGCGGCCGCGAGCGAAGAGGCAGGAGGCGAAAACAAAGTCCGGGGCGCAAGCGAGGCGAATTAGCTACAACAGGCAGAGGCCGGCCGGCCCACTCACAAAGCAGCCGCGAAGCTGAACCAAGATAACCAATTCCGTCGTGCTGAGTGGTGGCAAGCGGGAGGCCTGTGGAGTGAGTCGCCGGCGGGGAGCCAGGCTCCAAACGCCATTGACGACGTGAGCTAGCCAGGGGGGCTGAGCTGTCGCGAACCGTGGTGCAACGAAACGTGGTGAAAGCTGATGGTGCGCCTGGGGTGCTGTAGCTGCTGCGGAAGGCTGAACCACTCCGTGGCGATACCAACACCCGCCAGACCACCCCACAGTGCAAAGGGGAACCAAGCGACTGTGAGCCACGCAGTGCGTGCCGGCACGGCGTCAGGCCTCAGAGTGAGGGGGGAAGACCAGCTGGCGTGGTGAGCATCGCCAGCGGGTAAGAGTAAAGGGGAACTGCACTGGTGGTGGTGCTGCCTTCTGAAGGACGCCAAACTGAACCAAGGACAAGCATATCCCCAGGTGAACAGACCTGGCTATACCTCCCGGGGCACGTGGCGCCTGCGCGAGCAAGGCGTGCCGATACCATTGGGCGATGCGCCTGGGGGGAGCTGTGCTGTGGCAGACACGAGAGCCAACGGACGCCATGTCCTGACCCTGTCCGCCTCTTGGCATTTCCACCCAATACTCAGGAGACGCCAACGCACGCCACGTGAGCCTCCAGGGTCGCAGGTAACCGCCGCTGAAAGTGATGAGCCATACCACGGACAGCGAGGGGCACGGGCGGTCCTGGGAGGGGGGGGCACCAACACCGGCGTCTGTCGGTACGCCTGGCGGGCCCCAGGGCCAGGGGCGGGGGGGGCCCGCCTGGCCCGAGAGGGGAGAGTCGAGGGGAAGCAACGCCCCGCCCCTCGGCCTGGCCCCAAACCCGTGGGTCAGGGGACATGGTGATTCTATTGGGTCCCTTCCGGGGCACGTGGCGCATGTACAAGCAAAGTGTAACGTTGTCATTGGGTGAACGACCTGGGGGGGGGGCTGCGCTGGGGCAGACGCGAGACCCGACGGTCGCCATGTCCCGACCCTGCCCGCAGCTTGCGCACTTCCTCGCAAGACTCGGGATCGTCCACCAACACGCACCACGTGGGCCTCCAGGGTCGCAGCTACTCGCCGCTGAAAGTGGGGAGCCTTGCCACGAACAGCGAGGGGCAAGGGCGGCCCTGGGGAGGGGGGGGCAGCAACACCGGCGTCTGTCGGTACGCCTGGCGAGCACCGGGGCCATAGGCGGGGGGCACCCGCCTGGCCAAAGAGGGGAGAGGCGAGGGGAAGCAACGCCCCGCCCCTCGACCGGGCCCCGAACCCGTGGGTCAGGGGACATGGTCATTCTCTTGGGTCCTCTAGGGTCGCGGCTAACCGCCGCTCAAGAGCCAAAAGTATCGATTGTTGGTCCTCCAGGGTCGCAGCTAACCGCCGCTGATGTTTGTGAGTCTGTAGTGACCAAACTGTGACCAGGCTAGGCCGCGCTCACCGCCAGGCAGGCGGGGGGGATGCTGTGGCCCACTACCTGCCCAGGGGCAGGAGGTGGGCCACAGGCGGCCGCGGGGGCGACGGCGGCGGCGTCGTTCACCGCGCCCCCAGCCGCCGCCGCCGCCGCCGGCGGGGGGCCGGCAGCGGCGGCGGCAACGGCAGCAGCAGCGGCCGCCGAGAAGGCAGCCGCGACGCCGGCCGCGGCGCTTCCGGCGCCGCCGCCGCCGCCGGGGGGAAGCCGGTGGCGGCGGCAGCGAAGGCGGCAGCGGGCGGCAGCGGCGGCGGCCGAGGCGCAGGCGGCCGCGGGGGCGGCCGAGGCGCCGCCGGCAGCGGCAGCAGCAGCGGCAGCGGCCGCCGCGAAGGCAGCCGCGACGCCGGCCGCGGCGCCGCCGGCCGCCGCCGCCGCCAGGGGGAAGCCGGTGGCGGCGGCAGCGGAGGCGGCGGCGGCCGCGGCGGCGGCGGCGGCTGTGGCGCAGGCGGCCGAGCCGTCGCCGCCCGCCTCCAGCCGCCCCCGGGCGCCAGCCCCTTGGCCAGGGGGAAGGCAGCGGCGGCGGCGGCAAGGCTCGCCGCCGGCCGGCGCC